GGGTCCTCCGGAGGACCCGGCCTGTCGTTTTGGACACAGCCATCGACTTTCTGCACAGTGTCTGCTAGTTATTTTAGCATTCAGCAGTGGAGGAAGTGAATGAAGCCAGTCTGTGTTGATAAGGTTTCCAAATTAAATTAAATTTGTCTGACAAAGCAGCAGCTCTCATTTACAGCCGTCTCGTTCGGCTCGGTATATTTCTCCTCTCAGTAGGGTTGTTTACAGCACACACGATTTCCGGTTAGCTTCTTAGCTTAGCCTCCTTCCAAGCGACAACACACACACACTTCAGCAGAGGCCACGCCTCCTGCAAGTATCACTTCTCTATGCAGCAAGTCCAGACCCTTGTACGCAGCAAAGTGAAGGACAGGGTCTGGTTTTTACCAGGCTACTTATTTCCATGCACGTGGCTCGTTAAACTGTGAAATATAAAGTAACCGTCAAGGAGCGAGCAGAGAGAGTGGTGTAAAAACCATGCTCATAGATGTTCAGCAGCATCTGAGGGCGACCAAAAAAATATAAAGTTAAAAGTAGCTATTTTTTTGGGTAGTACTTAGGTTTACTCTTGCTTACAGATGAGGAAAAACAAGCAGAAGCAACCTGCCTGTTGTCTGCAAGCAAAGTGCACAGGACAGCTACAGACTAGAAGACTGAATTAGACTAGCAGTGTGCAGTGTGACCTACCTGAAGCTCAAGCAAAGAATCATTTTTTTCTTTACTTTGATGCTGCCCCCCCCCCCCCCCCCAAAAAAAAAAAAAAAAAAAAAAACTTTGTATTGCACACACACATTGTGGTACACCCCCAGTTTTTTTTCCAGATCATAGACATGTTTGTTGTCATCCAGGTGCAGGGATCAAGGCCCAGGTGTGCAGTCTGGTAGAGCTGCTGGTCACCACGCTGTTCCAAGCCTATGCTGTTTTCTACCTGCCCCCAGAGGGTGGTCCTCGGCCTGGAGACGGAGCTCTTAGCTGTGGGATGCTCTTCTCCATCCTGGAGAACGTGACCTCCAGTGCCCCCGCAGGTAAACAAAGCAGCACCACCTAACTCGTGCAGTTCTACAATAATCACTGGCCTCCCAAAGGACAGCAGAGCTGTTTCATTTACGCTTTTATGTTTTCGTCCTATCCGCCTCCTAAACCACCTTCGCAAGACGACCACCCCTTTGCCATCCCGATGAAAATTGTAACTGTCAAGCTGTATTTGCTCATCAATAAAATGTTCTTGGTCATTTGAGGAAACATGCAGCATGGCTGCTGATGCAGAGCGTCTGTCCTCTCCTCAGGTAAAAGCAGGAAGGTGCTGCAGGAGGAGACGAGTACAGGCAGCTGGTTTAGGTACCTGCCTCCATCCATCACAGAGTTCCAGCCCACTCTGCGCACCCTGGCACAGCCCATCCAACGAGAGCAGCTCAGGGACACTTTGCAGCAGTGGATCAACACGTGAGGATGTTGTT